AAAAATGTTATTACTAATTTTAGGCACTCGCCACTCAGTATTCAAAAGGTTTGCCATCCCTGGACTAGGATAAAGAAATATGAATTTTAAATGTACTGTGTTGGTCTTGCGACCAGAGGTGTACTTACAGAAACGAATGCGAAGACCGTAGTTGAATGGTGTATAATTTGGTGATACATTTCAATGTAAACACTTTAATGATAGCTGGTGAAATATTACGCCGTACTAAAATATCTAAAATATCTAAGTGTTTGGATTGGGGTTGGGGACGGGAACAGGTTACCCAGCTATATATAAGGCCTAATAAAAATGTATATAATAATATGCACTTTCATTGGGCGCACTGCGCAATGTGTATATTTTACAATAAGACAATAATAAGTATATAATTATTCGATGGCCGGGCAATATACGCGCTACAATGGTTATCAATTTATAAATGTACAATAATAATAAGAACAAAAATCAAACGATACATGTGAATAATACACACATGGATTTCAACAACAAAATAACAAAATGCATGCAACCTGATCGGCTGCACCTAGAGAGCCTAGATAATAATAATAATATCTATAATAATATTATCTAGGCTCTCTAGCTGCACCTCTGCGCGATGACTTATAACGCCGGCTGGAAAGGCGACGGCGTGTACGCAATGACACCGCAACACGTTCCGTAAAACTCCGTAGCTCACCGAATTTGTCAGACCTCGACTGTGTCGTGGTAAAATACTGCTGACGGCAGCCAACCGATTATAGAAAAAATCACCAACTCCAGCCCGTCGTCAAACGATGCTATGGCTGTGGCGGACGCGCGACTACCTCGACGGCTGGGAAAAGACAAGAAAAACCCGACGGCATTTCCTGCGGCTGCAGTTATACGCCACTGCGGACATCCCGACGCTGGACAACAGCGGAGCGGATGAACCACCTCACCAGCCGTATACTTCCTCCGATCTTATTATAATCGTCGAGAGTGGTCTTGGTATAGTGGCGACTGTGCTTGGCGGATTTGGAGTCTCATAACAGAGTTCGGTATTCTGGACTCTCTGGTCGATTCGTATCCTTTCCGCGGACGTCGAGTTACGACTTTTCCAAAAAAAGACGTGATGGGCTTATTGCCACTGTTACGTGGTGACAATTAAATTGTTGTCTACCACTACTGGTCTACGGTGTGTAATATTGTGTATCCGTAGTGATAGATCTGTACCAAACGGCCAACGGGGCAATAATGCGAGAGGATTTGGATGTTCGACAGGACAGTTGGTTAAACCGATAATAATTTAACGTATATTTAAAATGTAAAACAAAATGTAATATAAATTATTTTACCTTACCGATGACCTGGCAGCAACAATACACGGGGCAAGTTGTGAAACGAGACTAGTTCGGCTGACGTATGTCTAGCAGGCCGAACGATTATTATAAATTTTGTTTACTATACCAAATAGTTGTGCATATATATAGCTTTACTCCGTGATATTACAGAATGATTGAAAGATGACACGCGCGTCTATGATATATGTATAGTACCTACATACGTAATATTATAATTATAAAAATATGAAAACTGTAATGGTGTTCCAAACCATTACACCATTAATGGTTTAATGAAAATAGTACAGTGTACACTATTTTCATCGCTAATTGTCCGTTTAATTGCGTCGCAATACCTTTTGTATGGGTAGAACATTTGCCATAAGTGCCAATACATATTTTATAGGGTCCCTATAACCAATACGTATCAATAAATTAAACTTATATTATTTTTTAATATAAAAACTGTAAACGATAATGAAAAACGAAACGATCGAATGAAATACCTACTTAAATCTATTTTGTTATCGTCGCCCCCGTAAACGTTCTAGTTATTACGGCGATAGCGCTAACCATATTTTAATGGGTAAACCGTATAAACATGCCGTGTTGTACAGTTGAATGCATTTTATATAAATATAATACCTATGCTGCATGCATCACCATGCGAGTACACTTGTACCTAACAAAATATTATACTTGAGTTACAGACAGTGTTTTTTGATATATTTCCATTTATTTTGGTAGCGTCTTCAATATTCTGGTACGGAAACGCTCACAAATGCGATGGAATTAATTATATTTAATAGTTATAATGGTAATCAAGGTCAATTTTCCAACAAAATGGAAAACGTTTTTATTTCCTATTTATAAATTATATGTGCGATGTGTCCATGTGTGTCCGGTATCATGGGTAAAGTTACAATAAACTTTATTTATAAAGTATGTATTTGAAAATATGTACCTTTACAACAGGTACATTGTACTTCATAATCTGGTGTTTTTCTATAAAACACACAACCTCTGACTGTATTATTCAGTTAATTTTCGAGTTTCATACGGTACCTATATCATTTTTATTTTTAATACATATACGTATAATAATATTATATTATAAATTATTATAATGTATTTTGTACCCAAACAATTTACGCTCGACGGCAATATACCGATGTCTACATTAGACACTTCACCTTAAGTATACGTACTGCATGGAAAATGAGCGATTAAAGACTGTAAACTCTATACGTTTATCGTAAATGCAACTCCAATTGTAAAAAACAAGACTGAAACGCAATTAGCATTAAAACAATAGAATTATTATGATACCAATAGACAATAGGTAGCATTGTAGCAACTATTGTACTTGCAATCATTGTTTCGTGTATATTACCTACCAATAACTTGAAATAAACAATATCGATCTTTTAATCGAAGTTTTAACTACTGGTTTTACCTTCGATATATTCTTAAAACCTTCTTAAAAGAACTTTGGAAAGCTTCAGTTTAGAATACACGAAAAACAAACATTTTAAAGTATTAATTAAGCGTAAATCCACAATATTTTTTTATGAGCATTTGAATTTCAAATTTTGGAAAAATACGTAAAAATCACAAAAATTGTTTAGAATGAGAAATGCATAACATTTTTCTCTTTAGATCTAAGATTTTAAAATTTAATACAATAATCCTTACAGACGTTTTAAATTTATCTGCCTTTATCAAAAATAAAATGCAGTCAACCAGAAAGTCAAATTAAATTGTTATGAGCTTTTAAAGTTTATTTGCATTCTTTGTTTTTTTTTTTTTTATAAATGTCAATAAAATTATATTCGTTGAGTCAAAAAGCTTGACAATTTATTACAAGGTTCCTGATATATTGTTATGACAACAGTTGAAATATATTAAAAATACGTGCTCATGATATTTTTTCTATAACTATTTAAATTTCAAATTTTGAAAAAATTATGAAATTGAAATTTTTTTCGTTGGACCAGCATGTTAATTTTGAAAAATTAAGTAAATCAATTCGGAACCACACTACATAAATTATTCAAAATGTAGAAAATATATTTCCTTCAGAACACAAAGAAAAATAATATCGATTTTAAATAATTTATCAAAATCAAAATTGAACAACTTTAAAAGTCGTGAAATTACAAAAATATTTTTGAGTGCCTTCGATGACTTAGCACACTTTTGCTCAAGAACCAGAGCCGGATTAAGCATGGCTATAGCGCTATAGGCACATATTTTGTAATTTTTAAATATATCGTTTAATTAAGCATAGACGTCGTGCGAGTAACGGAAGCTCTGGTGGTTAACAGTTTAAATTGTTAAAGGACCCAAATATTTGTATGAAATAGATATTACGAACAAAAACTATGATTTATGCATCACAGTTTATTCATACTTTAAATTTTACTTCACAATCGTAATTATAGACAAGTTGAACATCATATTCATTCATTAAGTCTTAAAAACTATTCGTAGTTTTTTTCCAGGAGCAGAAAAATTACGGTTCATTAAATTACTTAGAATATTAAAATGTTGTATACCTTAAGAAATTGATTAATACTTTTACTATTAACTAGGACATTATTTGACTAAATAGGTACTTAAACAAGTCTGTTTACGGCTTTTATCCATTGAAACTTTAAATATTGTTGGTACGGTTTATTAGGAAGGTTGTAAAATATAATAATAGTAGTATTCTTGTATGTACCTACTATTACAGTTAAATACTCTACACATTTGGTGAGTATTTTTACTTTCAGTCATTATGAAACAAAAATACTTAAGAGTTCCTAAGTTCCTAGAAAAATGACTAACAGATGAAAAATATAATGTTTTTAAACACAACACACTGGTGAAAAATAAAAGGAAAGCTGTAAATTCTAAAACTTTTGTATCTAGAATTTCAATAGGTATATTAACTAGGTATTAAGAATTAAAGCAGTTGCCAGTGCTCAGTGGACTAATTAGTGATTATATAGATATAAAAAGATAAGATTTAAAATAACTTAATAATGACTACTTATCTAAGACATTAGTATCAGCGAGAGACATATAATTACGATAGTAAGTTTATAATTTTATAAAGTATAAAAGAATCACTAAAACCAATCCTAGGTTTTTTCTAGTTTTTATAATTATTGTGTACCCCTAAAAAAATAAAAAATAATGTTATTCATTTCGATATTAAAATAATGATTACCGGTTGTATGACCCTATACTCAAAAGGGCATAGACCAGCGTTTCTTAAACTGTGTTTTAACCTAACCTAACCCTGGGGTTCCACAGATGTTAATTTAGGGTTCCGCCAAATTTGTGCTTTTTCAAAATTAAAAATGTTATCACACTATTATAACTTTTATTGAAAATAATCATTACATAAGGCTATGCATCATAAATATGGAAAACGAAGTAATGATTTTAATTGTTGTGCTGTAATAATTTATTGTTGAAAGCTAAGCTAAAAAAGCTAAAAAAAGTTGGGGTTCCATGATAAAAGTGCACATAAAAGTGTTTTACAAATAAAAAAGTTTAAAAAACGCTGCTATAGACAATAATCAAACTTCAATACATAGGATTATTGTAGTAAGGTTAGTATGTTACATTATGATATAATCAAAATAAGTTCCAAAGATTTTAATGAGTAAAAATCTTATATTCAACACATATTCTTTTATAACCTTTTATTTAGACAGAAAATCTATGCCCTAATTATAACTATATACAATATATATTGATTATTAAAAAAGAACAAATTATAATTGCAAGTAAAGATAGAATAAACATAAACAAAATATAGAAAAATCAAAACAAATAAAACAATATTTGGTATTTATAATAAACTAAAATTATTTGGCCAAATGCAAACTTTATGTTACTTGTCCTCTGTTAAATGTGTGTTTATTATAATATTCCATAAATTATAAATATTATTATATACTTAGTAGAATACATTTTTAATAATTCATAGTGAAGAGTATATACATAGTACATGGCTAATATAATGTAATTTTGTTTGTCCAATAATTAATATAATACATCACAGACACAGCTTATAATTGGAGTTTGAGTAATAATTAAACCAAATACATTCAGCATAATTTAAATACAATTAAAATAAATCTTTGAATCAAATTAGACCAAATTTATTTTTAATACTTAATAGAAAAAAAATTTAATTTATACAAATGTTTGTTTCATTTAAGTATACTTTGTACTTACATACAATATCTACCCATTTGCATTTTTACCTTATTGCAATTAATTGTACAATAAAAAAAAATATTTTTTTTATATGAAAAAAGTTAAAGTAATCTTTTGTTATATTTTCTAATATATAATATATTAAATATTTTCAATGAATAATCAGAATTTGATCATACTTGAAGGTTTATAAGTTTTATCAGTCATATTAATTAATTAATTAATAATTATTGAACACAATTTTAAAAACATATTTCTTCCAATTTTTATTCACATACTATTATAATTTGTATTACTAGTAGGTAACTTAGAACCTTAATATTAATCAGAATTATCTTCAGTTTCATTATTTTGAGTCAATACTCTATTGAGAGCAGCAATATATTGAGGCGTACGATGATAAACATGATTTTTCTTATGGAATAATTTAGGTCGTTTCCTTTTTTTCTAAAAAAAAAAAACAATGCTCAATTCAATACATAAAAATATTTCAAAAAGCTTTTGCTATGTTGCATAGGAGCAAGAGGAACTACAAACAACATTGCATAAAAAATTATTGGATATCAATAGAAAATTATAACTGCTTATTACTCATTATACACATAGTTGTAATTTAAATTACTGATTAAAAAATAATAACGTTTTGGCAGTTTCTTGAGTTGATAAGTGTGTCTTAATAAACATAGTACGATAAAAAAATTTGGAGAACACACATTTTATCACTCTAATTTTTAATTTTATAAGAGCATATTGTACTATATTTTAAGAAAGGGCAATTTATTAGTCCAATAAAATTCAAGCCACCAGAGCATAATATTGCACCAATACAATTGAAGTTTTGGTCAACAAATGATTGTATGACCAAAAAGTTTTAAGCAAATCACTCATTGGAATGCCTGTTATTGTTAATTGAACGAGATGGGGGTCGTTCTCTGACAAACATAAATTTGATAACATAATGTAACCTCAAATATTCTCTAATACCAACATAACGTGTATTAAATCGATATTAGGAAAATGTTGTACCAAACAAATTATCATGCAACAGGCTGCAAGCTGCTGTCGAATTATTATTACACTAAAGAAAAAGAAATCAAACAATTGTATTTTCAAAGAAATGCTACGATATAAATGTCTATAAAATTTATTATTTAAAATATTTGTTTCTAATTTATATGTATTACACGTATTATGTCAGTAGTGTAGCTGTCATAAGACTATTATAATAAACTAAATTAATTGATGTTACTTAATTAATTCTTAAAATTCATTGTTAATTAAAATATATTTTAAAACAAAGAATAATAAGTGTAAAACAATTACTGTCTTCTTTGATTTTGATGATGATGACAAAGAGCTCTATGAATATTTTAATTATCAGTGTAGCCCATATTATACTGTACATATAAGGGTTAATCGGTTAAAGTAATACTTGGGATGAACATAACTTTAAAAGCAATAAGTATTAGCTTAATAGTTACAGATTCTGGTTATTAGTAGAGCACTGTAAGCAGCAAGTCCAAGTTATTATATACTAATATAATTTATAAGTCTGAGACCGTGGTCTACCTATACTCTATAAAAGACTAAATTTTATAGAAAAGAAGTTTTGACATTTTGTTTTTACAGTTAGTCACTCTGACTGTCAGAGTAAAAATTGGTTGTTATCATTTGTCAGAAAACGGCCCTCGTCCGTAGTTGAATACAAATTATATTATTTTTTAAATAAAACACAAAATATGTTACCCTTTTCTTTTCCCCGCGTTTGATAGGGGCCGGTGTTAGAACATCAGAAGATGACTGTTCAGATTGTTCTGTAAATTAAAAGTATTAACAATATTTAAGTATAAATTGATTAATAAAAGAAATGTTTAAGTATCTATTACCATCTACGACCATGCTATAATGCAAAAGATTAAATTTTACAATATCGTATAATTTTGTAATTCCATTTTTTCTGTAATAAATTAGTTCTTCGCGCCGTTTTTTTAGCAGATATTCTTGTTGCAGCCGTATATTTAATGACCACAATTCAACTTCAGTTAAATATCGGCTGAATTTTTTTATTTGATTTTCAATGCTTATTATACTCCTAGAAATGGAAAAATGTGTAAAATAAGTTAATTAATCGTGGTACCAAAGTAATACCTTTCTTCCGGTGTTAATCTGCGCTTGGGTTTATCTTTAGAGAAAAAATATTTATCCATCAATTGATAATCATGAACCACTTCTTTGGCATATTCACGTTCATATAACCGTGCACAATACATATCGATACATGCAAGATTATAATCTGTAATATTATAATTATAATAATAAAAAACGTAAATTTAACCAGTTTGTTTCTTATTAGAAAAGTAAATAAAAGTATGACTACAAAGATATACTTATAATTTATATAGTATTTACCATCTCCAAAATCATTCCATTCTGATGTAATACTTAAAACAGCCTCTGCATTATTATCAAAATCATTTTCCTGTTCATTGTATTAAAATACAAAGTTAAACTAGGTAGGTAATTTAAAATAATATTGTTATGGATATACATACCAATTCAAATTCATCTCTTATTGGATTGTATCCAATTTCAGCATACTGAGCTTTAGATAATCCAGATAAATGAGTAACAGATTCATTTAGTTTGAAATGGACTGTACGATCTTCTAATTGTGGTTTCTTTATTGTACCCCATGTTAGTCTTCCAATCGTACCATCCAAAAAATATTTAGCAAATTGAAATTTTATTTCTATTTAAATTAAAATAATTTATTTTTATTAACATTCTTAATTTAAATATAAATGGCAATTTGAAGCATAAAAACTAGGTACTATATATTACCTGAAGGAGTTCGATTAATTATGTTTTTTGGTAACTCATCCCAACATCCAAAAGAATATTGTTCAGCAAAGTCTAAAATATGCATGAGTTCATCACCAGTCCATCCATCCGTGGTAACTAAATACTGTCCAGGTGATTTTTGACCCTTAAAAATAGTTTTTTAATTTTAATGAATACAGAGAATCTATTAAATAATACTACACTTCAAAAATATCTAGGTGCATCATTTTATCCACAAATTTTAAAGTTAAAAATAATATTTTTTTTAAAATACAAAAATTATACAAAAAAATATATATATTAGAAAAATACAAAATAAAATTGTTTACTATGAAAAAGTTTTACGATGATAAATTTTTTTAAATTTTGTAGAGCCTAATATTTTGTGTATAATATCAAACTATAGAGTATGATTTTCAAGATTTTCCAAAACTAACAATAGTAATTTGTCCATATTATATGTATCAGTTGCATTTTGTTCACCAAAGAAGCAATTGCTTGTTGCAATTACATTACTGTTGACAATGCAATCTATGGCCTGTTGAACGGACGGAAAATTGTAATAAAAATATATATTTTAAGCCACACTTAAACTGACCGAATGTCACAATATATGAAAATATTTGTGTTATCACAAAATAAAAGTGCCACAATACATTGCCAAACTTTTGGTCACTTTCAAAACTGCTGTTTGAAAATATCAAAGTGTGTGAAATGTGGTGAAGAATACATTTCACTAAATTGCTTACGAAGCTAACAAAAAAATTGACACAGCTCTAATTTCAGAAGCCCATCATCTTGGACCACTCTAAAATTATGTGGCTATGGATAGAAGATGAAATGTAAACGTCTGTGCGCAAACACAAGACGAGGCTAAACCACTACGCCAATTCATTGGAAATCTTATTACTAGAAAACTCTGAGAACAGTAGACATCGCAAGCGTCCAAAACATTACAACTTAATTTAAGAATTTAGTTTAAATGCAAGCCTCACACTTCATTGGAAATGGGCCTTCATTTTTGTGTACAATATATATTATTTATATCTAATGTGTAAAATAAATAAATGTGTTTACATATTTATAAGACCCTTGAATTGTTTAAATAATAATGCCTCAGAATATTAAAAAAAAAAAAAATATACGATTACAAGTATCTATCAAATTTTGTGAATTATATCAAACAGTTATTTAAAATAAAAGATTACTTTTAACTTGTATCCATGGTTATTTTTATGATCTCCAATTTCTGCTCCATGACTATAACACTAAAATATAAAAGTTATTATTAAGTGTACAATTATATATATATATTTATATAAATAACTAACTTCGTAAAATAATATTTAAAAAGATATAATTTATGCTAAAAACTGCCAAGTTTTGACATTTGAATTTAAAAGACGCCAAACCCACATTTTGTGCTGTCTGTCTTACAATTGTACAATAGGATAGCAAATCTTAAATAAGAAAAACTAACTTTGTGTTGTTTGAGCTTTATCAGTAGTGATTGACTAAATACCAAATTTAAAAATAATAATATTATCTTAGGGTCTCATAAGATTTAATTAATATTAACTTTTTAAATTTTAATATTTTAGAGAGTTTAACTCACTTTAAAATTAAAATATCTATAAAAGCTCTGTTGCCCTACATAATATTCTTTACTTTTAAGTTTGATAATGAGTCAATTAATTCTAATACAAAAGCTAACAACACTAAATCGATTCTGTTCAATTTTCTTTTTAATGCGACAGAGATAACACATACAGATTTTGTGTCTTTTTAAATGTATTGACTGAGAAGTTGTAAAATACTTACGGCCAGACATAATTGAAAGTATGAACATTCCAAGCATACTACAGTTAAACTGTCTATGACATCCTGACAATATGTGCAAGTGTTATCCATAGTTAGAATCTATAAGTAATATTAAAAATATAGTATTTAAATATTAATTTCAGCGGTAGATCAAAAAAACAATATGAGTTTCAACTCTACTTCTATTTTATTCGAGTAAAGAACTGCACTCAGAGTTGACCAGCTTTTGTAACCAGTATGTCATAACCAGAGTTATTATTATTAATTATGTGTATGCTTGTAATGAAGTACCTATTGCAATACCCCTGAGCACAAGTACAGTTCTTACTTCTTACCCAACCAAGAATATAGTATGGTGTGTATAATATTATATAATGTGTAAAACAATATTTATTTTATTTCTGTTGTACTCTCTAATAGGTACGTACTACAATGTTTTTTTCATCATTATTTACACAAATAGTAATTCACTATTTGGTACCTACCATCTGAAGATATGGCTTATTACTTGGTAGTAATATAGTATTTTGATGCAAGTTATTTGTTACATGTAGTGTCTTATAACTTTTAAATAAATTTGCAACAGTTACAATTTGCATTGAATTTCATAATAATATTTAGTGCTATACTGGGAATTTTGACTAAAATAATGATTTAATATTTATGAAATTATAAATAATATCTTAGACCCGTCTCATAGCTCCATGTGTTTTTCAACCTACATAATTTAAATTTGTATGCGCCTATAGCATAATGGAGTGTATGGCTTCAAAACCTTGGTGGCACTTACACACATTTGTTGTCTCTGTCTAACAAGGGAGTAAAGTAGCAAATTTATGCTCAGCAGACCACTTTTAGCTTTGTTAGTTTAAAAATTAGAGAGATCGACCCATCATGAAACTTAATGGTTAGAATATTATCCATGTTTGTATTTGGTTTTTTTTTATGATAATTTTATTTTTAAGTGAGTTGCTGGCATTTTTAATTTGCGCTTTAATACACACACATATCTTGCTATAAAATTTAATATCATAAAAAAAAACCCACATACAAATACAGGTAATGTTCCTACTATTCAATTTTATAACAGGTTGATTCTCTCTAATTTTTCAACTAATGAACCTAAACATGATCTACTGAACATAAACTTGTTGTTACGCACTTGTAAGACAGAGACCAAAAATGTGTGAGTAGACTATTATAGCCATAATAATGAATGCTGTAATAATCAATTAATTCATTATACCAAAAAGCAATGTGCAGTGTGACCCAAGTCTACACTCTACAACCTAAACCCAGAGTCCCAAAAAGAGGTTGAAAAAAAAGTTGTATGTCAATGTTAACATATAATGTGAGGAGAGCTTGGGGCATAATATTGTTAACTTAATTTTTCCAATTTTAAAAATAGCTTTTACGTTTAATATAAATTAATCAAAAATTGTGGTCTTTGATTTAATTTGATTGGTATCAAATCTCAGTTAAAATATTTTATAACAATGAATTATATTTCTAATGCAAACATCTATGTCTCATGTATTATCTGGTAGACATTCAGTAATTGTGAAGATAATTTATGAACAAAATATGTTGAGGTTCTATGCGTATTTATGATTTGTTCTTACAAGTTATGTTTAAAACTAAAACAAAGAAGAACATATTACATTTTTAATACTGAATATCATTAATACAATTAAGTGAAACTAAGAGTTTTTATGAAATTTAAAATACTTACTAATCTATATATATATTTTACACAATACAAAAGTATACCAAACATATTTATAAAGATTAAAATATCGGTCTTAACATGTTTTTAACTTTAATGTGTAATTCATATATATTAGTTAATAGTGTTATGCCTAACTGGTGATGGTAATGCATGCCTTTGTCATCAACAAATGTCAGGACTCCATCTCACCCACTAATACTTAGAGGGGTTATGCTAAGCCATGTCAGTATGAAAATTTGGAGGGAATAACAATCGAAACCCTGACGGAGAGCAAGTACGATAGGTATTCTGTGGAAGACGTTTGCAACACAATACGTTAGTATAGCTAACGTATGTATAATAGTACAAATAAAAAGTACTCGGTAAAACGAATAATAGGTGATTGTAATACATAAAACTTGACAAGAATCAACGTGGATTACCTATAATTATTGTGTTGAACGATGAGCCAGCCGTATTAAACACGGCATAAAGTAAACGTGTTGTCCAGTGTGATCCTCTTCAGATGTAAGTTCACGCGAGCACAGCATACGACTGCGACGCAGGACGTATCGTGGCCTCAGACCGCGCAGACGGCGAACTGATTGCGACTTATTAGGACTGCGACACTGCAGCCTAAGACATCTCGCCGTAGCGTCTTCGGAATGTCACTGCAGTATTGCGGTCTGCTACGATTATCAGCGGAAAGAACGTCGAAAACCGTTTGAGAGGTACAACGCTGATAACGTTGTTGGCGCGGCGGCAGCGTACAAAACAAAACACCGCGAGCGCGCTAAAGATTGTTATGACGCCGCCGCCGCCGCTCACCGGTCACCAACAGTCGTCGGATGGGAGGATGGTTGCTGGTTACCCAGCACTCATAACTCCCAGCGCACACTTGTTCCACCGTCCGTTGCCAATGGTAATATTATTTGCCTACCTTCGCGTATAATAATTATTTATTTTATACAATCGGACTTATGTTGATTTCACACGAGGACATGAACTATGAAGTTGAAGAGGCACTAGTGAAAATATTCTTGTTATCCAAGAACAATGGTAAATAATTGTTCCCAAAAAGTATAAAGTTAGAATGATTTATTAAAAACAAAAGATACTTATACATAGCCACGTACACATAGCCCATAGGTATGTATATGCGTATGGGTAGGTTCGTACATTCTTACTCTATGGTTCGTACCTAAGAAGGTCTTTTTCTTTTATGGCCCTAGGCCAGGGAGGTGAACCTATGGCATATTGGACATATTTCGATGGCACGTCAAAACTAATTAAAATATTTTTCTTGACATATTTCAAAATATTTTGCAGTCTGTATTTCATAAAATAAAAGTTAACAAATAAACTCTTAATAAAATCTGTATAGTAACCACTTACCTTCTTTTATTCTCAGTAAAAATGCTTTTTAGGGGGAGGGAGCAAGTAATCATATTTCAAAATTTTTTTAAATTTGGCACACGACCCGAATAAGGGATGCCACTCCTGCCCTAAGTACACCAAGTAATACACTTAGCATAATTATCAAAGTGTATGTCCAGCAGTTCCAATTTTTAATAGTTATCTTAAATTTTAAAGGGAATTTTCCCATTATCAAACTTGAATGTGAGAACATTATCTGTGTTCTCTCGTTAGTTTTTTACGATATTTAAATTTTGAAGTGAGTTAAGAGTACCCATATAAAATATTAATGTTTAAAACTAAGAAAACTCTACCACTTAAATAATTATTATGGATAAGCAGGCTCGTATTTAAGGTGTCAGGGTGGGCCATTGCCCCTCCTAGTGGAACTCGTTAGGTAAGCAGTAAATTTGAATAAACTTCTTTTATGTATTAAGCCAACATATTTATAACTACCTATGACTTGTAAACTTTTTTCTAGTGTATTGTGATTTAGTGGAGATTTTTCCAACATTTATTTTAGGATATTCTCTCGGATTTATTTTTAAACGAACAATTCCTTGGATATAACTAATAACGACATTAGGTACTGAAAATGTAGCCCGCAGCAACCGTTGTAAGACATAACTTAAAAATAATAAAAAAGTTTATTATTACACAACACCTATTTTATTATTGTTCTGAAGTTACCCACTGTTAGTACTATTATAACAGTTATCAACATTTAACGTTAGATAACTCTGCATAGGTACAGCTTCTTTCTCTCTGTTCTGTTTTATTCAAAAAAATACTTTATTAATACGTGGTCAATTGAAGAAAGTAATTTTTATATTATTTATATTACATATTAAAATATTATATCATGTATATTATTAAAACAGGAAATCGCAAGCCTCGGAACTACACAACTTCCAAAATAATTATTTCTGAAATATTTTTTTGGCACTATCGCATCGCGTTGTATTTAATTCGCTGTAGTGTGTGTTTTAAAATAAAAATAAAATCAGAAGTCAGATAAATAAATAAATTATAAACAAATGTTTAGTCTTAGTGTCCAAAAAGAAGAAAATACTTCTGATGAAGATTTATCTAAAGATAAACAATAAGAAAAAATAAAATATGCTGGTTCTTCAAAGAGAAATAATAAAAAAAAAAAAAAATGATACATCAATTAAAACCGAAAAATATTATGCCATTATAAATGACAATGGGTGATATATTGGTCAAATTCTAAAATTGAAATATGATAATTATAAAATACAATTCTTAAAAGCAGAGTTTGATAAGTTTGAATAGTAAAAAGAAGATAATATACAATTAGTCCCTCCAAATTAACATATTTTATGGACTAATTTCTTTGATCAGCTGTAAAAATTATATAAAACATTAAAACAATAATTATTGCTAATTACAATATTTTTAATTTAATTTTAAGTTACATAATTTGTACCAATAATTTTCATTTCATTTAAGAAATAACTATGACTACCACTATAACTTTGACTTATTTTTCATTTTTTTCCATTTTCCATTTATATGAGTACTGAAAAATGTTATACTTATTTTCATGAATGTGTATATTTATAGTTAATGTACAAGAATTTATTAACACAAATGTATTTGTTTAAATGTCTTTAAAAATACAAAGATACAAAAATTGATCATATTGAATTTGTTTAAAACATCAATAGAATCGTAACCAAGTTCAACATTTATACAATGATTTTCGGTTAAATTATTAATTATCTTAACAAATAATACAGTTAAGACTTAATTAATTGTTACATTTGGGTTAGAGACAAATCAGTCCTATATATTAATAATTAATTTTCAGACGCTTCTGGTACACATTCTGATAAATATTTCATGTAAGAATTGTTACCATTTTCTATCTGTAAAAGAAAAAAAAATGTTTAATCCTTAACTAGAAACTTTAATAAGATTTTATGATTTTATAATACTACTTATATAAATAACAGAAATAACAAAAAGTAAAAAAAAATTGTATTTGTCTTCATAAAATTTAAAAACTTAAGCTACTACTAAATAGTATAGAATACTAACTTTAGTAGAAATTACTTCGCAGACATCATACGGGTGTTGAGACCTAAACAATTTGTCACTATTAGTTTTTGTCAAATGAACATTAATCAATAACAAGTTGGTTTTTTGAACAACAATAATATACCTATTAAAACAGATCAATACTGTTCATTAAGTGATAGGTTATTTATCCATATGTTTTTTAAATAATTTATATTTATAATAATGATAAAACATTTTTTTTAGTATGGAATTGTTATTAATTTTATAAACTATATAAATTTATTACTTATAATCCACTGAACATATTTGTTTATTTGCCTGAAGTACTCATCTCCCATCAATTTTTTTTGTAAATTATAATTAGACTAGTGGGTACTTTTTTAACTGTATTGATTTTAAGTAAAAATACACGATTGAAAAAAAATTTAGAATTTGTATAACACAAATATAGTCATAATATTATAATACACATCTTAAAGTTTCAATTGTATAGGTTGAATTAAATTAAATTTTTGAAATTAATCATTAATTTAAATATTTATATTATGCACTTTTAATAAATATCCTGATAAATTAACAATTTACTATTTTTAAATATTATACAATATCCATCAGGTTAGGTGAGTAGTTACACTAACAATCACTTAACATTTAATAAATCTATAATAATGAGCTAATGGTCATCTTTTAAACATGAATTAGTGGCCCATAATTGATCCATTCACTTTTAATATATCATTATATTAACTTATTGCTTTTGCGACCCGTGTTGCAGTACAAGGATACAGTGCCAAAATTAATTTCTTTGTCTACCTAGAGAACATAATACTTACTCGACATAAATAGTCAACTCTTCTATTCTTGAAGTTCGTGTTTTAATAACCTGTAGATAAAATAAATAACAAACAATAATTTAATTGGTATAAAAATTAATAATTAGTAATAACTCATACGTAATAATAAATTACAACATTAATAAAAAAAGATTAAAATTATTGTCAATTTTTTATTACTTTATGATATGGTGAAATGCAGAAATACAAATTTTTAGCAAATATACTATAATTTATAAAAATTATATACAATTATTTAAAAATATATTTTCATACAAAATACAGATGGATAAATTACAATAGATTTGTAAAAGGAATATTATAAATAACAAAGTATAATTTTAATACACCAATAACCTTTTATAACCAGTTATTATAAGTAAATATATAATATAATAATATATAATTTCAGAATTCAAGTTGTATTATTTGATAATTTAAATATTAACAATTATTTATTCATTCTATAATGTCACTTACCATCAGTATTTCAGAGTCTTCGTTTACTTCACCCTTCCATTTATAAATTGATGTAACATTAGGAATCAAGTTTACACAAGCTGCAAGATCCTTCGTTATAAGACCTCTGTAATGTACATTTAGACTAGTTAACTTTTTACATTTAATATTAGGTAATGTATTGATAAGTTTTTTCTATGTTTATTATTAAAATTGTATACGCCTCAGAAAATAAAATAAAATGTATCTATCTATTCATCAAAATTAATTTTGTATGTATATTTTTTTTTTAATGATAGTCTTTAGTAATATTTATATTAAAATAAAATAGGTACCTACAGAACATTTATCAAAATTACAATGGTCTAAAATCCAAATGAATAACCTAAATGGTCTTATTTAAAATTTAAATACACTATCAATTTGGATTTATAAATAAAATCATAAATCTTTTATTTCTTTGTAAATTGTTATTTTTGTTCTTGTATGTTGAAATCCTATTTTTTATTTTATTATCTATATTCTATACTTTCTATACTTGTATTATCTAATCGTTTTATATACCGGGACATTCATTTAAAGTAGGATATCAATTAATCAAAAAGTATTAATGTTTTTGAAAATATTTTTGGAAATAATGAGTGTTCAATGATAAAATAATCACCCGGTATTGATGAGTATAAAATGTTATTGATTTGCATTTCAAACTTAATGATAAATGAGAATTGACACAGGCATGTTATTCTAAATATTTTTATAAATTAATTGTAAAATAATAACATTGCATGAATTTAAAATTCACTGATGAGCCTGACACAATAATAAAACTGACTATTAAACTAAATTAGCTAAATTAACTAAATTATTATATCAATATGATTTTAAAAAATTTAATCCAAAATATGTTTTGTAAATGAGTAATATATTTATTTAAATTTAATATATCAGTACACAGTGTAATAATTACTCTTAAATAGGTATATTGTTATTGTTCAACTCACCGAGCCAAACTTTTTGCGAATTCAATTGTCGGTGCAGTGACATGTACAATAGAATGTATACCACCTCTGTACATGATGGATCAGTGTCGCGTAGTCGGTTGTTATGAAAAACCCAAAATCAGTTTTTAGATTCCGCTACAGTTTAACTAAAAAAAAAATAATAATTTTTCATCGTTCTTTTGCTAACTCAAGAGTTACGAACCCACTTCTTTGGCCCCCGTAATAGAAGGATTTCAATGCTGTCCTTATTATTTTTGATGGACCCTCAATTTAATTTTAATTACGAATGGAATAATTGTAACCAAAAGTGTTGAATTCAGCGATCGTTTTTTACTATTCGTAGTATCGTATTATTAACGTCGGGTGACCACTCTGTTAGCAGATGATAATGATAATGATAATGATAACAATAATAATTTATAATAATAGTAATGATAAATATCATATTATTGTCATTCTGTTTTTAATTCCACAAATTGCCCATTTGTCCGCTGACCGGAGTACCGGAGTACCGAACCAACGCCGATAATCATATAATTAATATCATTTTATTTATTTCTCTGATGTTCATCTATGCTGATCTAGGTTACTAAATTATTAGATATTAACTAGGTTATTAGTATTAATCATTAGCCAACTACGGTGAAGCGTGGGCGTTTGTTTTATCAGCATTCGTATTATCATACGAAATTATTTTAACTGCATTTTAAAGTAAGTGTTATTATGGTATAAACTTAAATCAGGGTAGTGGAAGCTAGGATACATTTATAAATTACTATCCTTGTCAATAAGTGGAATCTATACCATTTGTAGATCCGTAAGTATGTAGTAGATATAAATAGTACCGAGGCCGGCAAGTAATTTCTATGGAGTCTGAAAGATTAAAATAATAAATATATGAGGTCTAGAGAAAAATATCTTTGTTAAACCTTTATGTTTTTATAATAGCAATATGAAGACCAAAAAATAATAAGATATTTTTATGGTTCAGTTTTTTTCTTTCCAAAGTCTAGATTCGGATTGTGGTCTGCCTGTTGCTGATCCTGTATACTGTACATGCTACTGACATTGACTGATGTTTTTAATTGTGACGTGGGTAGTTGCCCTATTTATTTATGCCGGGTGATCAAAAAATGTAATATTGTTATACTGTCACAGTTTGCTTTAGTTTTATTATAATTTTCTCATGTCTGTCAACCGTCTTTTAGGGTACATATTAAATATGTGTAAAATAATAGTCTTCCACCGGTATATATGTTTTGATATATGTGTTTATACATACAGTCATTTTTTTTTTTGGTACATGCATGAATACATAATGAAAAAAAAAGTGGAATGTGATTCACTTTATGTAGACATATCATTTGTCGTATATACCTAACACTCCCCTTGCATTGGCCCTGAGTCAACAATGTTGATCCATTAATCATATTATTTTAATGTTTTTTTTTCATTTTATTTTCAGAAATTTATACTACCTTCAACAACATGGGCTTCTTATCTACACTTGTAAGTTTAATAACGCCAGTGAGTCTTTTACTAATATGTCGAGAAAAAACTTTACTTTACAAGAAGTAACAATGTTTCTTTACATTATTATTAATGTGTATTTCATGTGTTATTGATGATAATCAATTAACATTAAGGAGATTTGATACTGTAATTTTCTATCTATGTCTAACATATGATTTTAAACGTGTTTTTTGCCAAAAGTACCAATTGATCTAATAAAGCTATAAAAGTTCTGAAAACAGATTTGAATTTGTCGTCAAAGAGATCGACTTTCCCACATTTTTTATATTATCCCCTAAATTCTTAAAAAAACATATCAAAAAGGAGTAATTAAAAAATTGTCATATTTCAATTGTTGGAGAAGTTAAAATCAAAAAATTAAAAATGTGGCCAAGTCAATCTCAAGTACACTTGACAACAAATTCAATCTGTTTTCAAAATTCTTATCACTTCACTATATCAACTGGTGCAGCGTTTCCCAAACTCTTGTTTGGGCTGGCCCGGTAATTTATATTTTGCACCTTCGTGACCCACCAAACTATTTTACATTTATCATCATGTAATAAAAAGCAAAATAAAACACATTCGAATCATCTCCCCCGTCTCTTTGACTTCATCTTCATACTTAATAGTTTAAATTATCAAACAAAAATGATAAATAACAATTTTAATATGAGAATTTCATTGAATTCTGCTACCTGGTATTAAATTTTCATGGCTCGGTAGTGGGTCGCGACCCACTATTTGGGAAACGCTGAACTGGTGGATTTGGCAAAGAACAAGTCTAAAATCCAATATTGTGTGTGTGTTAAACAAAGACCGAAAGTCATGGTATTGAATCCCCTTGACTAAAATTATTTGTATAAATGACAGCATTTTTTTAAAAATGGAATCATTATTTTTGTGTCCAGTGTAGGCCCGCTATAAAAGAAAATTAGTTTTCTTGGATATACACATAAAGAAATATTGATGATTTTACGGTACTGGTTTTTGCCATGTGAAAAAAAACTATAAGACTGTATATAGTGCTTAAGTAGTAAGCACTGTTGATTTTAGTGTAATTATTGAGACCCTTTTAAAAATTTGTATCAGCTATCAGGTCATCTGTTACATAGCTCAATAATTAACTTAATTGATAAAACAAATAAGTAAATAATAATATGAAAACCGAGTTAAGATGACACTACACCTGCTTGTGTTTTCTCCATCTAACTAAAGCTTCATTAGGTTGAGAAAATTGTAATTTTACACTAAAGGTAGGTCTTATTGTGTCAAATTTTAGTTATCTATCTTTATCGTGCACTCAGATATATGTTATCATTAGTATGAGAAAAATCAAATTTACAACCCTTAATATCTTTAACTTAAGACCGATTTTTACTTTTACCATAAAATCTGATAATATATTTGGTTTCAGTACTCTTGTTAACATCTGATCGGCAATGTGCTGGTTTTATAAAATATAAAAATAAATCCTTACATACGACTAAAATACAACATATTTTGATATATTCAAATAATGACATATTTCAAATGTTCAGATTTTTCCTTTTACTTGCACTATAAGACCTACCTTTGAGCCAATTTTCTTGTTTCTACCTTTAAGAAAGTACCTAATAATTTTGATGATCTCTCAATCAGTAACAAAAATTCAAACTTGGAAGTGCTCTCCTTTTGAAAAGGCCTAATATTAAAGGCTCAAAATTGTCAAAGATAAAACAGATGTTTACGTCAATAAAATAAATACAAATTTTTAGTTGCTTTAATATAATATCGGAGTTAAAATAATTCCTTTTTAAATTGGATACCTATGTATATAATTTTTAACTATAGCAGTTTGTTTATTTATACATTATAGGCTTCCTTTGGGCTAGGTGTTTATACAGGGATATATGCAGCACAAAACTATGAAGTAAGCTTTATTTTTTAAATTCATTCTTTTGAAACATGTTAAAGTTGACCTTATAAAAATATTTTACAGGTAGCCAAAGTTGATGATCCTGGAGTGATTATAGAAAAAATGAAAAAATATTTAGAAGAAATAATGAAGCCCAAGCAATAAATTACTTCAAAATAAATAAACATTCAAATTGTAAATATAAGTTGGTAGTAATTATTACTAATAATTTATAAATATTATTTCCTCAATAAAAATATGCAAAAAGTTTCATTATAAAATAATGAATTAATATTGAATTATTAGTTTTTACATATAATTATGCTTGTATCATTGTTGTCTATTAGTCTCTGCATTTTTATGCGTTATAATTTAAACTGTTAAAAAGCAACAGAATGTTACTTAGTTTTTGGTCTACTTTTGTCTATTGATGTTCAATATTTATTAATTTCTGATGCTAATAAAATGCAAAGATTAACTAATCAAAAATGCATACCTAGTATCCTTTATATTATACCTAAGTCCGAAATAATTGTGTACTTATAAATGTCTATCTCCTAGATATGAATACATTTATCTTTTAAGCTTTGATCAATTGATCAAAACATTTTTCAAAATTCAAATTTATCTTAATAAACAACAATATTATGTTTGCAATGATCAATATGTTACAACCAAATTTAATGAAAATGTATTTTATAAGAGTGAATTTAATAGCATGCTAAAAAAAAACCTATACTAACAAATAGCAATATATTTAAACCCAAATAAAGTAATATAGAGTAAATAAAACATAGGAATCAAAATATTATTAAGTATTATGTGATATATATTTTAAAAGGCGCCCTTGACTATTATTTTTATTATATTTTAGCTGTTTTTGGATACTTAAATAGTATATTACATACTACATCCATAAAATATTATAAATTTAATACTACTATAAAATTATTACAGTAAATAATTTAATAAAAAAAACTGACAATTATACAAAATTATTGAAAATATGCCATTTTTGTAGTTAAATAATTCAATACACACATTATGCCCAAAAAAAAACTTTGAAATATAATCACAATTTCCAAACTAGGCAGTTAATTTGTCGTTTCAGTTTTGTAATATAGCTCATACATTTCTTTAATAACATTTAACTTAAAACAAAGCCACCACCAGAGTACTCCATTCTAGTAGGTTGATTGATAAATGCAAGCCAATCTGATGCATGTGTTGGTAATAAACCCATCGACTGACATTTATATAATGCTAAGACAATATTAACGCAATTTCCAATGAAAAATATAAATTTTTGACCCCATGCTTGTGTTCCTTCAATGGTTTTAAATGCTGTAAAATAAAAATTATATTAATGTTTTAGGAGTATAAGATAATATTATTATGAAGAGACAAAAGTGATAAATAATCAAAATAGATACCATACTTCTGTGTAACATTAAATATGTATGTACATACGAACTAAGTAATCAATAAGCTCTTAATATGTTTTTATACCTCTATATTTTATTAACTTTATAATTTTTATAAGGAAAAAAGTCAAGTGCCTAACAAACCTGACCTATTATCTGCACTAATATGGGGTATATCTGAGATGTTATCTATTACACTATATATATATTACTATAATACATTATTGTACTATGCTTTTTATCTTAATAATATTTATTTTTAATTGTTATGCATTAGTTTAAAAAATGATACTTTATTTTTAGTTTCAAATCCTAAAAACTATTCTATTATGTATCACTGAACTGAACGTAAGTACAATTACTGTAGAACCTCATTCAGACTCCATTAGTCCAGACAGTTGTTTAATATTAAATATTTGAGATTATTAGTATTATCAAAAAAATTAATGAAATAACTAGTTATTTTATATTTTGTAGGGCTTAATACTATGTTGCATTATATCTTCTATACTAAATGACATTTGTATTTCATAAATCTATAATACATTTTTTTTTATTGAACTAAGTCTTTAAATATATACCTCGGCTCATTTTGTAGATTATATTGTTTAATCCAGATAACCTAGCTTTCCTATATTATAAATTTTGAATATATTTTGTAAATGAGTAAGTTGGTAACTGTAATGGATGTGTTGAATTTGAATTTAATGATAACATTAAATTATTCTGAGCGAATACAGTGTGATACACTCTGCCTCTATTTCTAATATCTTTATACTATTAGTAATACAATTGTGCCAAAAATATTGTATACAAATAATTTTAATCATAATATTGTATTGGCATATTATATTTGACATATATCAATACCGACATACCATATTATAATAGGTATATAACACCTAAGTATGATTAGCTTGAGCGTGAAAACAGCTTAAAATAAGGACAAATAATTTTAAAATTGTATTCAGTATGACAATAATACATTAAGTTATTATTGAATAACAAAAAGTTAAGATTTTATAATTATTATTTTTAAAATAGCAACAAGATAGCCCGATACAAAAAAATCATTTAATCGCAATTTGCCAAAATTTAAAATTTTAGCTTTACTAATTTATATGTATAATAACTTTTTTATAATTCTAGTAAAAACAACTTTTGAGGAATCTTGTTAAAAATTTTTGGCTTACAAAAAAAAAAAATAAAAATATTACGTTTAATAAGTACATTAACTTCAATAATAAATAAAATATGGACAAGTAGAAAGGGTTGCTATATATGTTCTGTTGTCCCGATTAAGTGTTTTGGGACGGCCAATAGTCCCGGAATTAAACTTCAATTATATTTATAAGATTAAATTATTTTTTTCCATATGACATATATCGTTATTCTAGTTACAAAAAATGTGTGTTTAAACTGGTGGTTGACTGTAATGGACTAAGAGGAGTGGTACGATTTTTCCCATAAAAAATAACTGTACAACAAATGTTTGTTCTGATTTAAGAAAAATAAAATATGGGAACTCTAGTAGAAGTATTTAATTCCTATGCTAAACTCTAGGAGTCAAGTGTACCTCGTCATTGGATAAGTCACAGTAACGAATGCATTTCATTTGAATTCAATTCAATGATATACCTATTTATCATACACAAAAAATAATTCTGAGCAGAAGGTGGCTTAATTTTTGGTAACCATAGTTTTTACACATTTGCTTAGAACGTGTCATCAGACACAAAAATATAAAAAGACATGACTGTAAAATCTGTATATTCATTGCTTCGCACTGAATCTAAAATGATTTTATTTACAATTTTTTCTGACTTAATTAGCTAGGAATATTTATGTGACATGTTTTAAATTTGCACGTTATCTATATTTTTGAATAAATTAAATGTCTTTGGTTTATATGCAACTATAAAAACTACCTAATATACAGAAATGATTTTTAAGTTATGCTCAGAATTAAAAATAATAATATTTTCATTTTACATAATTAGATTCAGAGTTAAATAAATGATATTTCTACTTAAAAAAAAAAAATAGAGCTTACAAAAGTATTTAAAATCTTCATGAGTACCTCATCCATACATCTATCTCAATCTATATTCATTAAAAAATGGATACTGCTTTGATTATTTGATAAAATGTTTTAATTTTTTTAAAGAAAATGTAATAAAAAAATTATTTTTCATAGAATATAAAATATTTTTGGTTTGAAAATACATTTCAAATAGAAATCAAAGTTTCTGCCTCTTAGGTTATTTTTTTATAATAAAAGAATGCTAATATGTATATAATATAAATGTTATATACAACAAATAAATAAAAAAGAGCAAAACATCATTTGGACCAAATAAAAACAACTGCAATTTAAATGTTCTTATTTTATATTTATAACTATAACATTTTTAGTTTAAGTTAAAAGTTTATCAAGTAATTGACTAAAAAAATCATTTAATTTAAAAAATAACATGCATCATACTAAAAATAATAGCTACTAAGAATCAATTTTGGAACTCAATGACTATGATTTTAAATCATTAAGGACTGTTCTTACAATGTCTGGTTAAGTGTCGGTTAAAGCTAACCGGATGATAACAGATTTTATTACTGGTTAAGTGTCCGTTAACTTTAACTGGACATGGTAAGAATGGCCCTAAATGTAAATATAACAATACTAAATCTACCTTATGTGAACTTGTGGGAACGTGATTTGACTTAATATTATGTATGATTGTTAAAATAATGTTTTGATTTATTTCATGTAAATATGTAATGTACCTATAGTTATTTTTATAAAATTTAATATTATAATATTGCACTTATAGAGTAGTACAAATAAAAAATACCCTGTCTGGTGAAATATTATGTTAATATTGAATAACAATGTCAAGTGTTTGGTAGCTATGATTCACTAATCATATAGTTCTAAACTTATTATCTTTTATGGCAAGTATAATATACAAACTATTTAAATATAAATTAAATACACACATAATCAAATTTTATTTATTCAATACTAGGTATATAGTACTTTTACCTATATCTGTCTAACTGTCTCAACTGAAATATAGTAGTTAATAGAAATCGATACAAAAGTTTTAATATTATTAACTTACTCGTTTGTAGTGTAAATAATGCTTTGACTGGTCTCACAATCAACATACCAACCATCATAATTGGAAATATAGAAATCGAATTTCCAGCCATATACATAATGAACAAGTTCATTGGTACCTAACAATAAGAATATTAACAATTGAATATAACATTTATAATTGATTAACTTAAGTACTTGTTTTAGTGGTCCTAATGCTAGATCCCAAGATTTTTTAATAATTAGTCTACTCGATTCACTGTCTTTAGTCAGTTCAGTACCATTTTGTCCAGCTAATTGACTGTATCCTGGTGGACTCACATTGTCTGTCGATTTTTCATGTTTGTTTCTAAGGAATATAAAGTCACTTATATAGAATTATGGTCAAATATAACATCACATAATGTGATAAATACATAATGAAACGTCATGATAGTTTCGTAAGATGTTATCTATGAAATATGCTATTAGAGATCAGATATTTACCTGGTAAAATCTAACGACCATTTGAAGGTTTTACTTCTGACTGTAGTCATTTCGTACAACAGCTAAATCACAAATCTTCAATTCTAGAAAGGAAAAAATCTTAGTTTTTTTTTAATTGGAGGATTGTGAACGTTTCGATAGTCAAACAACACTACGTAATGAATAAAAAAAAATTTGGAATGTGTTTAAATCGGAAACTCGAAATACTTACTAACGAGAAGAAAACGGTGGGCGCAACGAGATCAGTATTTCACGGAAATGAATAAATCATGAGACTTCAGCTACGATGATCATGTGTAATTTGTTTATTACTATCGATAACAGATAACCGCTGATAATGGTTAGTCACCGCCCAGGCTGTAGTAGCGACGTACGGACACGTATCGAAGTCGGAGATCTTAGTGACTGAGACAGTGAGACCGGTACGGCTCGGTACGTATCGCTGATACACCGCACATGTAACGTTTAAATTTTCAACAGTGTACCGATAGATTCAAATTTCGTTCTTGAAAATATTGTATCAAGATACTCCATGCTTCTGTTTCTGCTTTCTAGTTTTCTGCAACAAACAATGAATAATATGATAGGTAATTAATTATTAGTAATTAAATGTTTAAATGTCATAAACAGTAGTAAAGTATTAAATAATAATAGAGTTTTATACTTACCATGATAATTTATTGAATAATATAATTGTAAGCATATAATTGCAGTTATAGTGTTAAAATGGTAGGCCGCTGTAGTCTTGGTGGAGGGGGGGGGGGTCTTACTGTCTTGTAGCAGAGAATAGCGATAATTTAGGGAAAACGGTAAAATTTTGGGGTTATAAGGTTATCAAATTTTAACAAATTTTGATTTTTTAACAGTTTTTCCCGAATCCCTATAAATAAAATGCTAAGATTGTAATACCTTCTAAAATCCAAAAGTATCAATTACATCCAATTTGTAACAAGAAGCAAGTTGTTGATCAGAGCATTTTGTTCAATAAAATGTGTCTCCAAACGTCCAGACACAAATCACTCATAATCTAAAATATAATTGCCTATAAATTTATAATTTCTTGTTACCAATGTATTAATCAAATAATATAACATACGTACTTATAGTACAATACAATATACATATACCTAACCGTATAAGGCAATTGAAATTGAATACAAAATATTTTTATAAAACCTCATAATAATAAGACCAATTTGGCTATTGGTTTGTTTTTAATATGATTAAAATAAATAATTAAACAACTTTAACATACCTAATTACCTACCTAATATTTTAATACTTCATGATTATGAAAATCTTTTTTTTACCTAAACATAAAAATCTACATTTAATTAAACATGGATATTTATAACTTATAGTCCTTATTAGTTTACCTAAGCTATTTAATATATTCTAGCAGTTTTTTTCAAGGGATTTTATTTTTTTGTTTTTGGTACTCAATTATCTCCGCTCTATCATTATAATTGTTTAACCAAACGTATATAACTTTATTTATCTCTGATTTAATATTTTGTCATTGTTTTTGTTTTTACCACATGTAATAATAAAAAATCGTACTCGGAACAATTATAGCAATACCTAGCAATTTATTCATTTTAAGGTTTTCAATATTTGCATTATTAGTACATGATATAAAAATAAAAAATATAAATGATATATTAGGTATAGATGTTTACTTAATAACCACAAACACATTATGATAAGTATTTTTCATAATTTTACATTTTACCTAAAATCATTTTATAAATGTCCATGGACATAAGAGTTGCTGTATATGACTTAGACTGTTTCCAGTTAAAGCGGCTGTAGCCTGTAAGCGATTGTATTTTTTATGTATTTAGACCTATAATTTATAAGCTAGAGAAAAATAAACTTAAGCACTTCTAGTAGTCCAATTTTAATTTTGAAAAACAATTTTAATTTGTTAGCCCCGTTTCTATGTTTTGTAGGATCAACTTTTTAATTCATTGTCTCATTGCCCATTTAAAGTAGGTACATATTCATTTTGAGAAATGATGTAAATTCATTTGGAATCAAAGTGCATAAACTTTTCAATACATCGGTAATCTAGTCTTTACCTCCATGTATCGAATATAAGTTACCCAATTCATATCATTTTTCAAAATTAAAACTTGACTATTATGGAAGTATATTTATTTTTTACCAGCTTAATTCGTCGCGAATTTCGCTTCATTGTCGTGTACTCACCTATAATCCTAAACATTCAAAATTTAAAAGTGACATTTTGAAAAGTTTGGGAGTCTAGGAATTTTTTTGCAGCGTTTCAGTTAATTTATTCTATTCATAGGATCATCATTATGCAAATTGAGCATGATTCAATTTTTTTTAAAAGTAAAAATAATTATATTACGTAAAATGTTTGATACAGAGCTCTTTATAATAGAAAATTATAAAGAAGAAAGTATTTGGAACATAAGCAAGTTTGTTTTACATATAAAACAATAATAACAAAATATATAAATTATTAAACTTAACATGATTCATTTAAATTTTAAATATTAGGTAATATTTCATAGAATCAAAAAGGTACCATGGGCGTGTCATAACATGTCAGCTGGAAAAGAGTAGGAAAAGCCATGTTTAACGATAGAAATGTAAGACAATAAAATAATAATACTTTGATTTTAAATTAATTATTTTTATTACAAATACACAAAATCCTTTAAAGTTATGTAAATAAAAAATGGATAATTGAAATAAATCTAAAACCATAACTCAAAATATCTTGCAGCATTGTCAAATGTCCAGTTGTAGGAGATGTCATTTCAAACGGGTGTAATTATTTCTAAATAATTTCACATGTCTCTCAAATAATTTTCAAAATGGATGAAACGCCTATCAAAAATTAAAAGTGTAGAACTGGAAAATTGATTAAATAATAATAAAATAATAAATTTCAGAATAATAATACGTAACTAAATAAAATTGTTATTATTTATATTTTATTTATTAATTAATTACATAAAATTATAGTATACGAAAAACGATTCTGAGCAAAGATGTCTGTCAGTTTATATTATGATAATATTTTTTAATTACAAAAAAAAAATTGAAACCGTTATTCTCTAATTTCTGTTAAAATATCATAAAAAACCTTGTTTATATAGTTGTATTATTACATTTTTACATTGTCTACAACTTAATTATTCGTAATATCTGTAAATTTAAATCAAATTGCAGTGGTACAAGATCATGGTGAAAATGTATCGCACAACCATTCTGCACTATACAACATCAAGGAAAATTATTAGTTCAGCGTGTAAACGGAAAGCAACTTATGCACCATCAGTTAGGCCGAAAACAATTATTTTAAAAGAAGTTGGTGAAAATGTTGAGTCTTCACAGTTTAATATAACAGACATAAAACGAATAAGGAAGAATGTATACGAAGCTCGGCGAAAAGTATTGCCAGCGTGTTCCACAAATTTAGAAGAACTTCATTTATCATTGGAAAAAACAGACTTAAAAACCAAAAAAAGGTGAGCCTTTTTTACTTGTAAATGACCAAAAGAAAAACATCGTAATATTTTCATGTACCTCAAACATTTTATTCTTAAAAGAAATCGAGACATTATATATGGACGGGACATTTAAATATTCGGCTCGTTTTTTTATCGAAATGTTTAGTGTTTACTATCCACGGTCTTAAAAACTGAAATTAATATTTCATTGATTTGTGTGTACTTCAAAACAAGACTACCGAAATTTATATTCATACATTTTGCTTGATATTACGGAAATACAATTCTTTAAGTGTAATATTATTGCCACAGTATGTAACAACAAATTTTGAAAAAGCTATCATAAACGCAGTCTATGAAATTTAGCAACAAACTACAATTATTGGGTGTATGTTTCACTTAACTCAAGCTTGGTATCGCTAAATCTAAAAAGTAAGACTGGCTACTAAATATCAAGACCGATCTTGAATGGAAATTGGAAAATGGTTGTGCCACACTTTTGGATTGCTTTTTCTAGAACCAAATATTGTTTTGGAATGTTTTCTTATAAACGTAAGTGCTGATTGTCCTAAAGATGATAAAGTCATCAAATATGCATAGGTACCATCTCGTTGAAAACTATTGAACAACAAATTGTGACCTATGTATGGGCATCACCAAGCTCTACTCTATAACGCACTACTTATAACTGCGAATCCTTCCATGCAGATTTCAATCGAAGTTTTTATAAAGAATCTCCACCCATTTTTAATTTGGTTGCGGTTTTAATTGATGAGGTACAAACAGAAATTTATATAAAACTTAGAAGTGTTCACTTGCCAAATGTTACTCAAGATCGATCAATTCGAGAGAGAAAATTGAAAAATGAAAAATACATCATAGATTATCATAACGGACAACTTGACAGGTACATTATATAGCAATGCTTTATTATTAATTAAAAGTAAATATTTGTATACTTTTATATTTCTAGGTATGATTTTGTTAAGTTTGTTTCTAATAATTACTTAAAAAAGTAATGAACCAGCAACCTAACCTAAACAGTGATAACAAAAATCAGAGAGTAAAAAAAAAAATGAGTTATGACAGGAATTGTAGTATAATATTATATATTTTAATACGAGTATATTTTATACATTTTATACAATTTGTATATTTTTTAATAATTTTATATTTTTTGCTATTGTTTTCACTTTTCGTAAATCGCCCGAAAAGGGAAGGGTACGTTTTTAGTCGAAAAGTGTCTCGCCCACTTCAACAGCAGTGCCTTCGCTTATTATTAGGGAACGGATTTTAATTTAGTATAAAATTAAAATATTACTTAAAAAATATTTATTCATAAATGTATAATATTTAAATATTTAAATTGAAAATACAATAGAATTTATTACAAATAATAGATGTAAAAAAAAATTATTCTGAATCATCCGAATAGTCTTCATGAGGTGAACATTTAGAAACGATATATAACTTGAAATTTTCAAATTGAAAATGACGGCAATTCGATCTTAGCATTATATTTAGCATATTTCACACACATTAAATCTTTTGGACTGTACTCTATTTCTGAAATGTTTTTCGGAGTTTTGTTTAATAGTATGTCCCCACCGTGCAAAATACTGTTACAAATATTCCAGTAATATATACTTTTATGTTCCTTAATAAACATTACAATGTAATATTATAAAATAATTACAGGAAGGTTTTTGCAAAACATACATTTTTGAAGATTGTCAATATTTCGAAAAACCATTCCATTTATGTGTAATAAATGTGTTGTAAAATATGTTTCGTATCTTACATCATGGTAATGATATTATCATGTTTTTAGGTAAACGATAATTTACCGAATATTCTATTTTTAAATTATGATGATAAATATTATAGTGTTTATATGGGCCGCCCGTTTCGCCTGTCGGCCGTCGCGACAACAAACACCAATGACAATAATAATTAATATTACACTTTGTCCCCGCATCTTAAACGATTTGAGGTTATTTTATTATATTTAATCTTTTCTGCACGTCGCTGTTAACGTGTTCGTGTTGTGTATTTCCATAATTTCATTTTCTGTGGCTGCATTTTCGTTCTACAACTCTGAAGTCTGACATCAAGAAGCTGCTAGCATGTCGAATACTTTGAAAAAGGTAAGCATTTTTGTAGTTAAACTAATTAATATACAATTCATATTTAGATACCTATCATAGCAATTTATTTTTACTTATGTCAGAATAATATGTAAAAAACTGGTATTTATTTATTTTATACCATCAGTTTGGGTGACTGAGTCTAGATTTTTGTTATTCTATTTTAAATACCAATTACAAAAGCCTATTATAGGTACATAAAATATTAGTATAAACGGTTTATAATAAACCTAAAGTGCAAGATCCATTTTAGAATAAAAATACCGTGTTCCAAATCGCCCAGACTTTATAGTGTTTTGAATTTCGATTATGTCAACAAATACTATATATCTAATCATTTAAAATACCTCATATTATAGTTTACTGTATTATTATATTTATCTGGAATAATTTGTAAGTATATAATATAATAATTTAGTGTGCTTGAAAATGGGAAGTACGAAAGCATGTTTTTATGATCGAATTTTGCTACCAGAACAGCCTCTTAATGCTTTTTGATAGCAGTTACATTTACCTAAGTTAAATTGATTCCAATATTTTTTTAATTCAGTTGTAGGTACCTACCTATGTAATTTTATTTTGTCTTATTGAATTACCTACTATACTTACTTATTATTTAAATATTTTACCAAAACATTATACATTTATACATATTACCTGATACCTAATGTCTTTTCAGTTTCATACTAAAAAACAAAAATGGGTAGTCGTCATATTTTCTCCAAAAAAAGACTATAGTGTAGTCCCAATAAACTGGCTTGTTGAAACAGAAACACAAAAATTGTCTACCAGTACAATACAATTTTGTTACTGGCCATCAATAAGGGTAACTAGTACAGATTTACAAGAGGCTGTAAGTCCAGATCCGTCCTGGAATCAATATAAAATCCGTGTAGTTGGTGGCAACAAAACTTACAGTATGTAAAAACCAATCATTAAATTTTGTAATTTCAGTATATACATGTATTAAACATAAATGTTGATTTTTTTCTCATTGACTTTATTGGTATATAGGTAATTTAAGTAAAGCTTGGCATGAGCGAATTGAAATAGAATCAACTGACAAAGAGAGCATTGTAAATGATAATCATCTGTTTAAAAGAAATAAAAAAAAGAAAATTGTTGATTCTAGTGATAGTAGTGAAAATGAAGGTAAATATTTATTAGCTCTGTCAAATTATTAATATTAATTGTTTATTTGATTTACTTTGTTTTAAGATTCAAGTTATACTATTGTACCTTGTAATATACAAAATGAATTGCTGTTTAATACTACAAGAACTCAACAAAATTCAATACATACCGATGCAATTCAAACAGTAAATACTAACACACAACAACAACCGTCTACATCGACTTATACACATGACAATAATTTTTCATCAATTGAATTTAATAAACCGGGTTCCATTATTAGTCAAGTTGATTGTTATACAAATGTTCTATCAAGTTCTTCTTTTTCGGCAGTACCAGCATTTTCTGATAACCAAAAAAAATCTTATACAGATCTGGAAGTTAAATCATTAACTTCACCAAATTCAACAATGATACAACACTCAAGTATGATAGAACCGTTGACATATGACTCATCATATATAGAACCACAGGTAATGTTCTAAACAAATCTAAACTTACTTCAAAAGTTCAAACAACTTGCCTCTTAAATATTATATTTAATATTTCTAAAAAAGTGACTATAATAGGAGGTACCTGTATAATCAAACTAATATTCATTATTTTTTGTTTGACAGGATAATTATTTAGAAATTCAAAATGAACCATTAACATTTTCCCAAGATTCTCCTGAAGGTAATATACAATTTTTTAATTTTTTTATAGATTATTTAGTATATAATTCATACACATTAGACATTACTCATTAAATTTAATACAAAATATAAATGGACATTGAAAAACTCTGATATTGCTTAATATTTTTTTTTTGGTACCAACAGTAGGACATTTATTTCATAAAATATATTATACTATAGTTGTTATAGAAGGAAATACAAAAATTGTACAACATATTTATGAAGAGCTTGTAGCAAATCGCTTGATGAATCAGAGACTCTGGAATATGATGAATAGTTTAAAGGATGATATTAAAAAGTTAACTATAGCTAATGTATCAACATTAGGAATGTCTAATGAATTTGAAGATAAAATATTTTTAGAAAAATTTCCTTTTTCAAAAAAAGAAGACATTTTAGAGTTTGAAAAGCTATTACAAATTGATAATAATGACAGAGAAAAATTGGTATATTTTTTTAATCTTATTTTTTACCTTATTTTAAAATTATAAATTGTAGTTATATAATATGACTTGTTTGTTAGAAAATTATGTTTTGCTCGATTGGAGGTAATGACGGTAAATCTCATTTACGACGTATATTGTCAAAAACTTTTACCAATCAACTTGCAATCGATTGTTCTTGGACAGGCAGGGCTTTTGATAAAGATCAGACTAAATTTAAAATAAAAGATTTACAGATAATTTCAATTATTAAAGGTAATTCATTTTAAATTAAATTTATCTTGAGTAATTTGATACAACTGTAACTATGACTAAATATTATAAAAGTATAAAATAAAAATATAATGTATGATTTTTTAAACATGCTCACCCCCATTTTTTAACCTTAATATTACATTTATTCAAATTCTGATTTTTAGAGTTTTTAAGTATACCTAAAGACCATATTTTGAAATTCCTGATATTTTTTGTACTACTTTTTGTCCTATGGCAATACAAACATAATTCCCCAAATCTTCTTAACCATTTCTATAGACATACCATCATTAATACACAAAAATATATAACTCAAAAACTACCTGTTAGAATTTTGATTTAGATACATTAAAATTCTCCAAAAATATATCTGCTAAATATTTAAAAGTAAAAAAGGGGTTATTCCTATTTGAAACCCAGAAGTTTGTTATGTTACAGGATCATTCTTAAGTGAGACAAAAAATGTCAAGTATTAAATATGGTCTCCATGCGTATTAAAAAAATTCAAAAATCAGAATTTTAATATATGTATAATTTAAGCATAAATAGGGTAAGCATACCAAGCAAGCTTAAAAAATCACCTTTCATGTATATATTATATAGGTAACAAAAGTTGGGTTTAGCTTCAACGGATAAACTTACTCAATAATCACTTGTATTATAGCTTATCAGTCTATCATCTCTTAGATTAATTATCAATTTAATATAATATATATTTTTAATTATAATTTTTAGTGTTCCCAAAAATCCATAAACGGGTCAAAGATATTGGAACTATTTCTTCACGTCAGTTTAAAAGGCGTATAAGAAATAAAATACAATTATTAAATAATAGTCTACCGATTGCCACTAATTTTAAAATTCAGTCATCATCTCAGGTATGTTAAATATTAATACTACAATTAGAAGAAAATAAGTTTGTTCAACTTTTTATTATATTTTTTTAGTTGAATTCAATTTTAAAATTCCCTACTAAAGAGCTTCATCCAACCATTACTAACAACAACTGCATTTATATTGAACCATGTGATTCCAATACAACACTGAACCTTACTAATGAATTTCATACTTGTATTGTAAGTATAACTTATATTTTTTTGTTTCATTGTATACATAAGCGCAACTAGTAGATGGCTGTTGTGGGGCTTAGCCCCCCCCCCCCAAAAAAAAAAAAAAAAAAA